ACATACATACATACACACATACATTACATACATACATACATACATACATACATACATACATACATTAAATACATACATACATACATACATACATACATACATACATACATACATACATACATACATACATACATACATTACATACATACATACATACATACATACATACATACATACATACATACATACATACATACATTACATACATTACATACATACATACATACATACATACATACATACATACATACATACACACATGCATACATACCTACATGCATACAGACATACATAACACAACCTACATGCATGCATACATACATAACACAACCTACATGCATGCATACATACATTAGAATACATTACATTACATTACATTGCACTACATTACATTGCATTACATTACATTACATTGCATTGCATTACATTACATTTCATTACATTAAATTACATTCATGCATACCTACATTACGTACATTACATACATTACATGCATTACATACATTACCTACATTACCTACATTACATACATTACATACATGCATACAGGCATACATACATACATACAGACAGACAAACATACCCACCATACCATACCATATCTTACATTATATTACGTTATATTACATTATATTACAATACGCTACAGTACATTACATCACGTCACATCACATTACATTGCATACATACATACATACATTACACTAATGAATTTTTATAGAAACAAATGTACATCTAGATTTTATTATACAGAGACGTATACATATATATATATATAATATGATAATACGTATCTAATACTACACACCCTTGAGCAAACTGGGTGTCCCCCAATACCCTCATGCTTTTTGTGGGTAGGTTGGAAGGAACCGATAGGCCGTCACTGAAAAGAAAGATACCCTCGGGAGAGCCCTCAAAACTCGGCCTGTTGAAGGTGCCCATGATGCTGTATCCCATCTTTGGCACCATGTCGTCGCTCAAGTCACCGCCTGCACATGCGAAACTGCTGTCCCCTTTTTCTTGCCTCGGCAATCCTGGACATGCTTCGCTTCGGTCGATCTTTCCCGATGTTCCACTCGCGTTCGCTTGCACGAGTCGGCTTGCACGAGCTGAATCGTCGGAGCTGCCTCCGCTCGGCCAGAACTTCAACGGCATGATGAGCTCGTTCCTGGATGGGCCAGCAATTGCTCTTCTTGGTCTATAGAGCTCCTCCGGAACCTGCACACTCAAAACAGAAACAGCTTGAATGTGCTTTCCAGCTGCAAATGCTTCTCGGCTCACAGACTCCGGCCTTTGCAAACACCACTGCGTGGCAGTTCGTCCCACCAATGCTTCGATTCAGGATGCCTGTGGCCAATCAAGATGTGTCCCGTTGCCTGCCGGCTTGACAAATGGCTGTGGGTCAAACATAGGTAGAACCCTGGTAAATGGAACCAAAGACTAAAACCTGCGGTCGGTCCCCTGGTGGCCTAATTTTGACCCACACCCAAATGGTAATTCAAATACAAGTGCAAAAGCCCACTGACAAGTCGATTGTCCAAGTCCACCACCAGTAAAGGTTGAAGGAAGTCGAAAGCGAATGCACTCACTGGGCAGCATTGCGTTCCTCAACTCGACCAAATGCGCGGCCGAACATGTGGGTTCGGCACTTGCTCAACTGTGTCTGGACTTCACGTTCAATCAGGTCCCCCCGCCGATCGCACATTTCGAGATCCACATGCGGGTTCGCTATCCTGAGGCAAGTGGGCGAAGCTACAGCCGCACGAATAGTTTCCGCAAGCAGCCCGGCCACAAAATAAAATAGTCGGATGTCAGCATCACTAGGTGCAGAAAAAGAGATATTGCTTTGAACAACTGTTGGATGATATAACATCAAGACGGACTAGGCTGAGCTTAGATTCTTTCGCAGGAAATTGTGGTTGCTGCTGGGCTGTGCAAATCAACCTACACCCTGCAAAATGCTAGTAGCTTGCCTGACTGAAGAAACCTCAGACATACTGTAGGTCTTGTGGCAAGGTGTTTGTATGCCACCGAGCAGTAGGCGTCTTCACGTTTGCTCTGTCAGGCGTTCCTGTACAATAGCAAATTGGAGTTGGTAACAAGACTTGTTGCAGCAAAATGGCGAGTACAAGAGCGTTCCACTGATGCACAAGTTTGCTTCGAGTATGTCAAGAACGAAATGGAACTGCCTGCTTCAAGGAACAAGAAAAGGGTGCTAAGTTTGTCTGTTGCTTGTCTTGCCTTTATCTATCAAGCTTGCTGTACTGTACGAGCCAGCAGAAAACACAAAGAGATGGCAATTGTGAACCACTGCCCCACCAAAAGGGCACCGCGGTTGGGTGATGCCAACTGACTTCGGATTTTGGGTTGCAGCGTTCTATTCCAAATGCTTTTGGCTTAGTGTGCTGTATGTCATCCATCCCTTTCTTGGCAGCAAAGCATGATGAACATTGACTGCTGCTCATGTCATTGATGCCATCGCTGGCGCTGCATTTCAGAGCTGGCAAATGGAACATTATCCCGGGGAGAGGACCAAACAGAGTGAGCAGTACATTTGGCGGCAGCTCTGCGCCGCAATTTGGGCCTGCCTGAGATGCACTGATGGATGAAAGGAGGCAACACCTCAGTACTCAATCCGCACTTTCACACAAAATATGTCACGCTGAATTATTTGTGAGAGCTTCGATGCAATTCTGACTGAGACCGCAACGAGCTCCAAGAATGACTTTGAGAATTTGTGAAATTCCCATGGCTTCCAACTGATTCCCTGCCTTGGCTATCACTGACTGTTGCTTGAAATCGCTCTGGGCTCTGCCAATCCAGGAATGTCAAGCTGAATAACATGGCTCACACTAAGTATCCCACACCAGCTTTGACTGACACGATGGCCAGCGGAGCAGACGTATCCGTATTCAGGGTGCCCTGACACTTGGCATTCGCATTTTTTTACTACGCGTTATGGAGCAATATCACAAGGTCCATGACAACTCGTTCTGGCAAGCCTGTGGCCGGTACGCTCGCGCCAGAGCAGTCGCCTGTGCAAGTCGCTGAACTCACGGCTTGCAGTGCAAGCGGCGGTAACTTGCCTCCAGGGAGTCGTCGAGAATCTTTCCATCCGCGAAGCTCTCAACCGCATCCACATCCAATGAAGTGATCTGTGTCTGGCGCACGGCCTCACAGGGAACCAAGTGCATGGCTGTTTTCCTAGGTTCGGCGCGGGTCACCAGCATCCCCAGCATCCCAGCATCAGCAGCATCACCCAACATCCCCAACATCCCCAACATCCCCAACACCCCCAACACCCCCAACACCGCCAACATCCCCAACATCCCCAACATCCCCAGCATCCCCAGCATCCGCAGCATCAGCAGCATCCCCAGCATCCCCAGCATCCACAGCATCCCCAGCATCCCCAGCATCCCCAGAATCCCCAGCATCCCCAGCATCCCCAGCATCCCCAGCATCCCCAGCATCCCCAGCATCCCCAGCATCCCCAGCATCCCCAGCATCCCCAGCATCCCCAGCATCCCCAGCATCCCCAGCATCGCCAGCATCGCCAGCATCGCCAGCATCTTTTCATCACCCCCGGCATCAACAGAAGCTCGGGTTTAGGTTGGCGTAAGGGTTTACAGTTGCTTCGGGTTGCTTTGGGGGAGTTGGTTTACGGTGGGTTTAAGGTTTGTGCAGGGTTTCTTCAGGGAGGTTTTAGGAGCGAGGCGGCTGACTGACCCACCAAGCGCCTGACCAACTGACCGACTGGGGACTCCAAACCAAGGGCAAAAAGCAAAATCAGGGCCCGCAAAGCCATCCACCACACAAAACCTGATGGATACATTTGAAGGTTGAGTCTTGTAAGAATGTTGGATTGTTGAGAAAGCTCCATGTGGATGTATCCGGCCATGTACCGCAGAATTGCATGACAGTCGCCTTGCGAACTTATCGCAGCTTAGTCCCTTGCTCGCCCCAAGCCTCATGAATGACCTCCTGCAGAGCCAGACAGTCCGGCGCCGTCATGTGGACCCTCCTGGAGACAATTGGACTCCAAGACTTCCCTCAGCTCACAGCGTCCTGCCGCTTTGGTTGGAGGCGCTCCCGGCCAAATGCCCCAGCACGCAATCCTCCGACGCCTGGCCCGACACCCGACCGCCCGCCTACCCCGGAATCGCTCCGGTCGCCTTGCCATCCTCCACCTCCAGTGCCTTCAGCACCACCGACACCACGCAGTCCCCACGAATGTAGCCTGGGGAAAAATGATCTGGAGCCACTCGCTGGCCTTTCAGCATGGAACTCACTTTTCACCCCGCTGGAATTGCAGACGGCAAGCCAGCTGCGAATGCAAAATCAGAACAAAAGCTCCAACTGATGCATTCGGAAAGAAACATCTCGCGAATGAAACAGGAACAAGCAAGCACTCATGCGGCCAATCGATGCCATCCCTACCCATCCAGCTGAGCTTGCAGCCACTGGCCGATGCATCAAAAGCAAAGGTCCGGCCCTGTCCCCACCGTCATCATTGAACAGCATGCGTTTGATTGGTTTAATCTGAATGTCTGTGCTAGCACAAGTGACTTGGCCGAAATGCGGCCTGTGGTGACAGGAAGCCGCTCGCTGCCAGGTGGACATATGGCCTGGGCATCCAAATCAAACTCCGGACTCTGAAGCTTGCACTACTGAGTCACGTAGCAAATGCCAAGAGCGCAGCATGGGACTGAGCTGCAAGTTCCACGAATTGCAGAGAGCAAATGGGATCGGCTCCCAATTGCCCGACCAGCAAAGGTTGGTGCTGGCGACAGTTCATTTGAGTGCAGATGAGATGTATGGCAATGGCTGATTGCACAAATTATGACTTGAAGACTTGGACAGTGATGGCAACCTGCCAGTGGCAAACATGGCGGACTGCCTTGCGTAATTCACTGCCAGCAGTGATGACGCCCCTTCCACATCAACGCTGATGGACGGTCCCTGGTAGGTGCGGTGTGCAGACAAGCAATCATTGCTACCACAAAACAGCCTGGCAGCCCTGCCTTCAGGCCGTGCACGAAGGAAAATCGGCCACAGGCAATGCTGCCTCCGCCGCCTGCACTTGGGCACAGCAGACTCCGCTCCGAAGGCCGCAATCTGAGGGGCACACCACACACGCCACCCCCGACAATGTCTTTGGGTGTAGAGCTCCACTCAGATGGTGGAGGATTCGCGACGTACCTGAAAGTCCCTCACGGCTGACTCTGCGCAATTCTAGTGCAAACTGAACTTCGCATTCGCACGCCAAAAAACCATTCGGCTTGGCGCACACGCCCCCGCGGCTGTTCATCAGGGTGTTTCCTTTGAACCCATCGCGGACCAATGCCTGGCAACGCCATGAGGCAAAGTGAGAGCAACTGACTCGCGGCTTCATCGCCTCGTAGCCAGTCTCCAGCGTGAGTCGATGCCCGGGGTCCATGCCTGGGATTTTTCGGAGCTGCGGAGTCAAATCGCACTCACACTCAGAAACTGGGAGCTGTACCGCTGGCTTCTGCCCTGGAGATTCTAAATGCGACGCAGTCGAAGAGCTCCACACCCTCAATGAAGACACCTCAAGCAAATGCTCAGTGCATCTGCGTGTGTCGGTTCCATCTCTGTGGGGCAGACCATGCATGCAATTTGTCTTCCCATGTCGGAAGGCCTGCAGCTTCAGGACAATACATCTCATGCAGGCGCTGCTCTTTAACCGTGCGTTGGCATCCCTTGGTTCTGCCTCAGGGTCGTCCTCGTAGATCTGTTCATGCTGCCACCTCATCATCGGCACCTCACTTCTCAGAAAAGCAGAAGCGGGAAAAGTATGCAGTGCAAGGAAACCCATGCCTGAAGTGCATAGTCCGGGCCGGAGCCGAAGGCGAAAGCCCAACCAAGTGGATCTTCCCTTAGAGATGCACGTGAGGGCCTTACTAGGATCCGCTTTTCACCCGAGTAGTAGAACCTCTACTAATGGGCAACAAGGGTTTGAAGCACCGCTTATGTGAGTGTATGGTGAACAAGTTAGCCAAGTCCCGTGCGAACCAGGCTGCTTGACGCATGCAGTTCGAACTGCGATGCGCTGGGTCTGATCGGCAGGACAAAATGAAGGATGCGGATGCGACGTGAAGTGATTCAATAACAAGCTGACACCTCCTTGCATTGCCTGCGGTGGGCCAATCGAGCTTGGCCCCGCACGTTGACCTTCTCTCTGTTGACTTTCTCTTCCCAGTCGCGTGGCATTTCCATATACCTCTTCTCCTGTGCGACTCAAGCCAGAGTCAGAGTCATATCTGCAGAACACCCATTATCGGCTCCATATCCCCTGTTATAATCCGCTTGTTTTTGTGGGAGAAAGTTCGCAGAAGGCAACAAATGACGTGGTGGCATATCATCTGTAACTGGATGAGTCTGTAGTGGCGCGTCCTGCATGCTAGCTTGCTTGTATCTGGCCATCCGATCCTCCGCCCACTGCTGCAAGGCCTTCAGACACTTGCTGAACACGTCGGCAATCGAAGTATTCGAAACTGAATGGGTTCTTAGCTGAGCCAAAGACCAAGCCACAAGGGCTCACAGGGTCCTTGCAACTGTGTGTGTGCTCAGCAGAATCCACGGCTACGTCTTGTCATGGGCCCAGCAACCAGGCGCGCTCCTGGGGTCCGCTGGTGTTGCTGTAGAAGCAGCTCAAGCAGTAAGCCTGGTGGGTTTGCATGGGATATGTATATACATATATATATATATATATATGTTGAATCGACAGGACAAAGCGCTCTGGCTTGCAACACGAAGTTCTGAGCTATCCAAACGAGCAGCCATTCTGAGTGGTGGCTTGCCTTTTGGTCGCCTTTTCACCGCAAACGCTTCGAAGACTGAGAACCTGGCACAACCCACCGATGAGAAATGGTGCTGCAGAGAATCAGCTCCTAGGCGAGAAGCGCTAAAGCACACCGCCTCCCACTTTCAAAGGCGCGGGCTGGCAAGAACAAGTCGACCTGGTCTCATGGTGACCTTCGGCTGTTTGGCAACGCTTCACATCGCATCAAATCCTGAGATTCTCCGTAGATCCTCTGCAGCCCATGCATCCACGCGCCTTGCTGGGCTCAGCGTCCGTGACCCAGGGCCGAAGAAGCAACGTGCCGCTCCTTGGAAACGGGTCAGCCGACTCATCCTTCTACGTGATCTGTGAAGGCATTCTGGGCTTAAATTAAGCATCGGGCTCAGGACCTAAACACCAAATGGCGATGAGCCTCAAACATATGCGAAGCACAAAACAAGCTTTGTCCGGAGAAACAAGCACCTCCCACCTGTGGCTACAGAAAAGCTTCAGCCATTTGCTGCAGGCCTGGTGCTCGCTTCGCTCGATCTGTGTTTGTGTGCCTGACTCCGTGCCTCTTCCGTAAGCGACGGCCCGTCAGCTTTAGGCTTCGCTGCCTGGGCAAAGTGACGGCAGCAAACTGCCGGGGGGCATTGTGGTTCCTTGCCTCATGAAGTAGGCTGCTAGATCTTGCTGTCACCTCCAAGCCACAGACGCGCTTCAGCAAACATTGGCAGTGACTGCAACTCTCTTCGTCCACATTCGGCCTGAATCATGGCGCGCTCAAGGTGTGGCGCCAGCAAGTTGGCATAACGCCTGTCAAGGAGATAAATGGCAAATGCAGCTGGCACGTTGCTACTTGCACCGACACAGCTTGACGCCCACGGGAAACCGTGAAGTCAACCATCGGCTTTCAGCACATGCACGGGAGCACGTCAGCTCCGAATCAAAATAGCGAAGAGCAGCACCATCACGCCTCGGGCACTCGGCGCTTTTTGGAGGAGAAGGCGCTCTCAACATGCAGAGCCCATGGCACAAAGCTGTCCGTGAAGATGGATGCGTATGCGTCTTCCAGTGCCACCCCTGGCCAGGGCATCAGCGAATCAGGGGCGCGCGAGCGGGCCAGGATGCACATGGATTGAATCAAATACGGCGGGCTGGCCAATGTCAGCCACCCGGAAAGATCCCTCTTTGCCAAGCAAGCCCTGACAGGCGCCATTCTCATAACACGCCAGCCACTCCACGACACTCCACGGCATCGCTCCTCCAACACTATTCCTGGTACAGAAGCCTCGCAAGCACAAGGCCGATTGCTTGAAACAGGAGGAAAACGGGGCATTTCCTTGGCTTATTCCAGACCTGCCAAGCCAATGTCAAAGGCATGTGAGTCAGAATCAAAACCATGTAAAGCATAGAACAGGCGGCGGCCGCACCCATTTGTGGCTGGGACTGTCCCTTACTAACCTGCACTTCCCCGGGTTTTGATTGCAGCTCATGTAAAATCTCAGAACCGCACAAATCTGCCCTGCTCGTCCACGGCAGAAATGTCCTCAGTCTAAAGAGCGACAGCACGTGATCAAGTGACTCGTTTTCTTTTAAAGAAAGATACAACAGGTGAATCTCATCAGCAGATGACAAGTCAACTACACTTCAAACTGCGGGACAGCAGGCATTTCTGCTTGCTTATGCAAAGCTGAGCGCCGCCTCAGCATCCCTTGCAACCTGATTGGCGCCCTTTGTCGTGCCGTGCGCGAATGGTACATGCGAAGAGCAAAAAAGAAGCAGCTGAATAAGAAGAAAATTGCTGGTGACGCGATCCTGGACGAGCATCAGTCTTCTCGAGTCTTCATGATGATGCTGGAAGTGGCGGGTACTGGCATTAATGAAAATGATGTTGATACGGGAAGACCATGCTACTGTTGGTTAGCAGACAAGGGATCATGCTCGCGAACAATGATTTGATGATTTGATGATGAAGATGAAGATGAAGATGAAGATGAAGATGAAGATGATGATGATGATGATGATGATGATGATGATGATGATGATGATGATGATGATGATGATGATGATGATGATGATGATGATGATGATGATGATGATGCAACTGTGGTGAGGACTGTGACAGGTATCATCGTGGAGGTGGAGAAAGGCAATGGTGATGACAAGCCGCAGTGCCGATGGAAATGAAAAGCGCCACTGCTGATAACCATCAAGATGGTTGGGATGATGAGGCGTCAGACTTTGAGAAGTTTAGCATGTTTTGCGAAGTCGCAAGCCATAGTTGTCACCATCATCGCGATCCTCATGGTTGTTGTTTGATGTATGTTGCACAAAGACATGATCACCATTTGCTGTCATGATCATTATCCTCATCGTCGTCGTCGTCGTCGTCGTCGTCATCATCATCATCATCATCATCATCATCATCATCATCATCAGCAGCAGCAGCAGCAGCATCATTCATCATTCATCATTCATCATTCATCATTCATCATTCATCATTAATCATTCATTATTCATTATTCATCATTCATCATCCTCATCATCATCGTCATCGTCATCAGCAGCAGTGGCGGCAGGATCGATCGTCAGCACTATGGCCGTCATCATCGTCAACAACAACTCGGGAGGCTCTCTTGTAGAAGCCGCATGCTGCATGTACGAGAATGCACGCCTGACACACAACTGAAGACGCCTCCTAACACCTGCGCCTCTTTGAAAGAGCGTGTGGGTGTGCGCGTGTCTGCACGTGTCTGTGCACGCAAGAAATCGCAGTCTGGAAACCCGAACCACGGTGGCAGGCCGCGTGTCTGGATCGTGGAAGCATAAGCACACAACGAACCAATTGAGTCGCCCGTAAGCCTTGTGTAGCTTGACAGCGCTGCGTGTGTGTGTGTGTGTGTGTGTGTGTGTGTGTGTGTGTGTGTGTGTGTGTGTGTGTGTGTGCGTGTGTTTGTTTGCAAGTGCCTTGATAGAATAAGTTAAGCAATGAACCGGACCTGTCTCGCTTTGGAGGGCTAACTTGAACTTGTTGTTTCTGAACACACAACTAGTTGCTGTACCTAATTTGCAAGAAGCCAGTCATTGGCTGAATAAGCTGCCACAGATGCAGTTCCAGAGTGTTGCATGCGCAGTTCAATGCGTCTTCAGTGTTGTATGAAAACCAAGATGTTTGCACCGTGAGTGCAGTTCAAGGACCGGTCAGTCAAATAGGAACGCTAACACTGCCCATGGTGGGTTCAATTCAGACAGTGCCCCATGTGGCGGAAAAGCTGAGACCTTGCCCGTGGATGCAGTTCAGGCACTGCTCAGTGTGACTGGAGCGCAAACATGTCACGCTCGCGGATGCAACAAAAAATGGGTTCATAGGGAAGTGAGAGCAGGTTGCCCATTGCGGAAGCAATGGCAAGTGTGCTAAGCCTTGGGACGCACTACCAGAAGCGGTTAGATGTTTCCAATGGATGCAGTGCAAACAGCGTGCCCTGGCTTGAGCATTTTCGGGGCACGTGAAGCCTACTGCTGTGTTGCCTAAATGGTGCACTGGTGGCTTCTCTCCAAGCATCAGGCTCCGAGCACATTGTCTAGGTGCTCCTCTTCTACCTGCCAACATGTATCAAAGCTACAAGATTGGTCCCACTGTCGCTGGCCTGCGGGTCTATGACGCAAAAGCCTGGGCCAATGCTCAAATGCTCTGGGCCGCTCGTAACATCCAAGGAACAGACCCTTGAGTGAAAGGAAGTAGCCGATTTTGCGGCCAAGACTCACCTGAATTTGCGGCACGCGGGTTCGCACCGATCGGACCTAACCTATCGCATGGGATCTGGGCTCGCTGGCCGGGTCAAGCTCTTGGGCTTTCACATCTGCCACCGTCGGAGCTTCTCGCTCCTGGCCGTCGCATGCGGTGCGAGCAGGTCACACAACTCCTTACGCATGGCATTGATTCCAAGTGATGCAACTCCTTTCCTCGAAGCGCGGATGAGTCTCCCTCCCTCCAAATGGTGGCTGACCGACTGGCACTTCCTGCCTTCCTACCCATGGATGCTTGCAGCTCAGCGCTGCGCCTAAGACTTGCTCACTGTGGTTCCCAGGCGCAAACGGAACTGAGACCTTCCCAAACAACTGAAGAAAGGAGTCAAACACTGTATGCTGTGCGCTGATGCACTTGGGCAGCCAGCTTCCATGGAAGGCCAAGGCTACAAAGCCGGAATATGTCAAAGCTGCTCACAGCTGCATATGATTGTCTGTCTGTCTTGTCTCCATCTGGCAGTGGTGTGAGTCAGGGCTTATCGTTGTGTTCCTCACTGAGTTGGGGTTGGCAGCTGGCGCTTTCCTGTTGGTAAATGTGAGTATAAAGTTGTACAAAGTCAAAATATGCCAATGCGCACTCATGGTTGCCACTTATCTGATCTTGGGCCAATACCAGGCACGCAAACGTCATGTCAAGAAGAAAATGGCCGTTGAATTTAAAAAGAGGCAATGTTGCAAGTACCCCTGACTTTTGGCCGGCAGCCTTGGTCAGCGCATGCCGTTCATAACCTGCAAAGCTGCCAGCTTCATGCAACACAAGTGTTCCGGACTTGAACACCAGACATCCTTGGCCCGGAATTCGCAGATTTCAAGTTTGCTTGCGCAAGTTTGCTTGCGCAGCCCAACGGCATCCACCTCCATGACGTTGCTGAAGACTCCCGCAGCGGTAACAGCAGCTCCCGCGCCAGGTCCTGGCAGCTCTGACGCCCGGACCTTCCGCAAATTGATCTACGCCCAACAAGGTTACCAAAAAAACAGTATACCCCCGAAACTCTACGGGCACCAGAACCTCTCAATTTGCAGATCCGCCACGTTCAGTCCACTACTGATGATTGAAGTCCATCACCAACTCCACTGACTATCGTGTCCAACTATGCGTGCCAACGAAAAGGAGGTGAGACTGCAAGCTGATGACTTGGTATTCCCCTGCCATACTGCAAAAGCAACCACAAAAGAGAACCCTCTGCCGAAACGCAAGACATTGGATTCCAGTCATTCCAGAAACTCCACTCCATGCAACTCCATTCCAGCTTTGCGCTTGAAACGAATCTACAAAAACGAGTCGGGGGCCTTGCACAACCAATGGCCGAGGCGTATACCACCTGCGGCAATGGCACGAGCTCCAGCGCTCTCGAGCTGGGGACCGAGGTGCCAACTTGGAGGAGACCGCGCAAATGTTGTCCGCAAACTGGGTGGACGCAAAAGGATGATCCTGTCAGTCACACTTCGAGCAGTAATTTGTTCTAATCCCTCCAAGGAATCTGTGTCCCACCCTTGCCTTGGGGTATCGCCCGAGCTTCACAGATGCCTCCGCGCAAGTCTCCCAGCGCGACTGTACGCGGCCCAAGCCAGCTCAAGCGGCCTTGCCCGCTTTCACGTCAACGGCGCCCACGAAGCGCAGCACTTCGTTGGCCGCCTCCGCCTCTTGCAGCAAGGCATCCATCCTGCATCAACTCAATATATATATATATATAAGAAATTGCAAAATCATCCCACATCTGGCCGACATCCTTTGGTGCTGCCAACAAGCAAGATCATGCCGTACTGTCATACTGTACAACAAGGCGCGGGCTCATCATCGTACGCTGTCAGCTCCTGGCCAAAGTGAGGCGAGGCAAGCATTGACACAGCCTTGGTCGCAAAAAGCACATCGGCAACTCTGCAAAAGTATTCCCGCCTCCACAAACGCGTCGCCGAGTTTCTTGCCGCTCGGAGGCTCCCACCTAATCTGATGATGATTATGATAAAAATGATGATCGCTCGAGTAAAACGAAGATATGTTTAAGCAAACTTGTCTGTGTCTGTCACTTCCGGAAGCATTTCACTTGGGTTTTGAGCGCAGGAAGGTGCTATGGCGCCCACGACTGCAGCTTGTCTGGCACCAGCGACTTGACCTGAGACGCTGCGTGAAACATGCCTTGTCAGTCTTCGAGCTGCCGCTTCAACACGTTTTGTTTTGATCTGGGTCAGCCGCTGGCACATCGTCAAGCTCGATGGTCAGCCCAATCTCCCGCGCCAGGATTGTCACCTGCGCACAACTCTAGACCAAAAAGCTGCTCTGGCAAACGGAATCCCACGCAAAACGTCATTGCCCATCATCCGTGCTTGCATTGCATCAATGCCAGGGGATCAATATTGCTGTGTGAATGATGACATCGCTACCTCCACCACAATCCCAACATGCTGCCTGGGAAGGAGAACGCACGAGCCTTCCGCTGCACATCAGTGCCGCCCAAGTCATCTCGAGGATCAGGCCTCAACTCCCGCTATTCGTTTTGCTATGCATATGTCACGCAAAAACTAGGTGCGAATGGCGATCTAGGACTCCGTGCTCTGTGAAGCCCTTTTCTTTGGCTTCCTTCACTACATCAGAGAACTTGACACCTGGCCTCAAGACTTGATCTCTTCCACTTTCCACAATGCTGCTGGCATTTGAACTAATCTGAGGGTCAGTACTTCCAGGTGTTGAAGATGTACGACAGCGTCCCGCTGAAGATTCCCTCCACCTCAGTACAGCATATCTTCCAGGTCCCACGGCTGGCCACAACTTTGGGTGGCTGGCGCTTTCTACTTCGTCTCCTGCACGGAGGAGCGCTTGGAGCGGCCCGAGCACCGGCAGCCCAGCGCCGACCTAGGAACCAAACCAAAGTCTCAGATGGGTGTGGCTCGAAATCAAACAGCGAAGGTTATTCAGGCGTTGTTTGGTTCCATCTACCAAAATGCCTCGTTGGTACATCCTTTTGAGCCACGGCCAGATAACTGTCAGCCACTGAGCCACTGGGGCCACTGAGGCCACAGGCTGTTGCTTCGTAAAGAAAGCGGGCGCCGGTCTTCTGCGAGGCAGCCATGATCTTCTCCTTGCATGCGCAGAGTTGCCCTTGGTTTGTCTCGCTAATGCACCAGGCCACGTAGCGGGGAAATGGCCCGCTGCCGGCGCGCTTGTTCGGAGTGGCGACGTCGGCACCGGCAAGCAGCCATGCCTGCAAATTAGATTCATGTACCCAACACGATGCTGCTACACTGAATGACACGACAAAAAAAAACTACGCGAAGAGGCCGCCAGCAAAAAAAAACCTGCGCTTAGCTCATGCGCGACAGTCCTCGTAAACTTCTGCTGGTCCATCTGATGCCTTGTGTTCAAGATGTGCACAGAATGCAAAAGACATACTGCTGAATAGCTAGAGGCTGGACATGAGTAGGACCCTGACAGTATTGTCGACAATGATCGCACGGCCGCCTTTGCGGCAAAGACGAGTCACTCCGAGCAGTGCCATGTTAGGAAATCCGAAGGCAGGGACCACTCGAGGCTGCCGCATCCACAACGTATTTACCTGCAGCGTGCTCTACCACTTTGCTGTACAGCATATACATCCAGGGCCGGTGCCAAGCTTCTCCAAATCAGCCGGCTCCTCCTAAGAGAGCAGCAGCGAGCAAACGCCAGCACCCAGCCCGGGCCTTGCTCTCGTCCCAGCCATCGCTGCCCGGAGGGAGCAAAGCCATCACCTGGGGCTTGATGATCGTAGAGCCGTATGCATTCTTTGGGCCGAATCTATTAATCTGCGTGAATAGCTGCAAGAGGCACGACACAGACACGAGGACATGCCGAAGCCTTGGACTTCGAGATGGCGGCAATCTCCAGCTTGACCTTTGTGGAAGTGCAAAACCTGTACCAAAACATCGTTCCATAGGCTCTGAGAAAAAAAGGGGGATGCTAAGTGGTGAGCCCCAATCTGCTCCTCCAATTTTGGTGCGGCTGCCACCATCTGTTTCATCAGCTCCTGGCCTTTACAAGGCGATGTGTCAAGCCGTGCCAAAGCTACCGGCAACTCAGGCAGCCACCCACTAGGCCATAGCCAACGAGTCCCACCTCAATGTGAGCCCTTGAACGTTAATCAACCAATGGAGACACACGGTAAAACTATCCATTAAATACAAGGAGCTTGCAATCGCTGGAAGCATTGTAGCACCGAGAGTTGACTAAAAATCTGGCACAATACGACTAAGACAGACATCTCACCAAGGACTCAAGCCATCTCAGTCGTCAGCATGAAGAGTGGGAGCATCACCAGCTGCACATCTCGTGTAACCTGGGAGATGCAAAACTCATGCATCATAACGGCGCACCGAATGCAAAAAATAGTAAGCACGTTGTGGTCTGTTCAAATTGAGGCCATTGACTGGTTCGCGCTGCGCAACGCTGCGCTGCAGCCTTGAAGCAAGTTCTGACAAATGTCACCAAAGCAGCACAATCATCATTGCGTTGCTGTGGCCCATCGCATGAGCCCAACAAGGCAAACACAAAGAGTCAGGGCTCCCAGCGGTGCGTGGCAAGCAGGCAGCCTCAGCTCTGCAACTGAACCAGACCTGGAAAGGATCCAAGGAATCTGCCAGCATTGCTGCGCATGCGGCTGCTCCGACCTAAGGCTTGCAGTCAAAACTTCTGCTTTGCCAAATGGGAGCATGTGGATAGGAGCCCAGCCCCGCGACTGGCGCCTCCACGTAAAGAGGTTGCATCGATGGATGTTCGGCCCTTCGGACAGGTCCACAAGGCTTCTGAAAACCCCACCACTGCGTCGTGAGACATGAGTCATCCAGCCATCCCACCTTGACACCCAAAGACCACGGGGCCTGCACACGGCATGGAGGAGGCAAACCGGCGCGCCCAAGTCACACGTCAGCCGAGGCATGGGCTGGGCTCCGTGTGGGCAAAGGCACAGTGGAAAAACGGAGGCGGCACGGCGCAGCCATGTTGGCCATGGTGACCACTCTGAGCCAGAGTCTGATACTCGGACGAGAAACTTGATGTTTCAAAGCATTCCGTGCTTCAAAGCACTTCCTGCCTTCTGGCTGTCTTTCTTGCGTGTGTCCTCTTTCCCTTGTTTCAGTCTTTGGGTTCCTTTCTTTGTTCGCCTAGGTGTTTGCTTTCTTTGTCTGTCTTCTTTTGTACATATTGATTCCTTCCTTCCTGCCTTTCTCACTTACTTACTTACTTACTTCCTTACTCACTTCCTTACTTACTTGCGTACTTACTTTCCGTCTGTCTATCTTTCTTTTGTTAATAGTCTGTCTGTCTGTCTGTCTGTCTGTCTGTCTGTCTGTCTGTCTGTCTGTCTGTCTGTCTGTCTGTCTGTCTGTCTGTCTGTCTGTCTGTCTGTCTGTCTGTCTGTCTGTCTGTCTGTCTGTCTGTCTGTCTGTCTGTCTGTCTGTCTGTCTGTCTGTCTGTCTGTCTGTCTGTCTGTCTGTCTGTCTGTCTGTATTTCTTTATTTATGTCTTTCTTTATTTCTTTCTGTTTTTTCTTTTCTTTTCTTTCTTTCTTTATTTGTTCCTTTATTTATTTTCTTGATGTTATTTCTTTTCATATTTCTTTCTTTCTTTCTTTCTTTCTTTCTTTCTTTCTTTCTTTCTTTCTTTCTTTCTTTCTTTCTTTCTTTCTTTCTTTCTTTCTTTCTTTCTTTCTTTCTTTCTTTCTTTCTTTCTTTCTTTCTTTCTTTCTTCTTTCGTACCGTCTCTGAGTGTGTCTGTCTCTCTCTCTCTCTCTCCTCTCCCTCTGACCCTATCTCTCTCTCTCTCTCTCCCTCTGCCTATCTTTCTTTCTTTCTCCCAATCTTCTCATCCTCTCGGTCTCTCTAATCGTTTTTGCGCGCAAGAAGCTCAGATTGAGCCTAAATCAGAATTGGTAATCCTTCAGAGACCACAGAACGAGATGCATAGCAAGCAGCATTGGGCTCGATGCAGCATGATGGGGTTGTGGCTTCTGCCACTTCAATAGTGTGGTGATCACATCATTGACAGCTGCAAACCTATGCGTCAGCCAAAACAGCTTCCCCCTCAGAACTGTCCGCGGCATCTTGGTCCTGCTTGCTCCAGGAAACATCATAGCCTTTGATGAAAGCGTCGAATTGATGTTGCAGGCTGTGCAGGTCTGTCCATGCTTCCTGTTGGCATGCATTTGCATCAGGATGACTCCCCAGCACAGTCCAGGTAGTTGCCGCCCTTCTTCCAATTTCCCAAGTCTTCCATGACCTCAGTGCATGAGAATTATCCGTAGGAGTCAAGTCAGAAATAAAAACAGCCTGGGGCGACCACCCTCCGGAATTTGTTGTCCACCGAAAATCTCACTTGTGCATATCTGCCAGCAAGCCTCAGGGAAGCGAGAAGCCGAACACCGACCACCGGAAAGCCGACCCGGCCTGTGGCCATCGAGCTGCCGCCCGGATCGGCATGCCTCGTTGTCGTCGAAGAACACGAAGACCTCGGCACCTGCAAAACTCGGCAAAAGAACATCGGTGCTATGGACGCTGGGCAAGAACTGGAACAAAAGGTGCCGAGCAATGTGTCTGTGTCTGTGTTGGCTTTAACTTTAGACCTCACTTGAAACGACTGAAACTGACCGGCTGCAAAGAGTGGCAATTCTGGCCGTTGTAGTGTTAAAAGCGCTTGTTTGTTACACATTCCAAGGGCCCACTGATCTGAAATGCCCTGATCATGCACTCCAAGTCCTGTTGCAAACATCGATAGTGTTCTGCCAGCTCCTGTTTCTTGTCCTCTCCGTGATCAGCGATTCGTCTTCAGTCAATCGGGTTGTTTTAACGCTGAGCTGTCAGCAAATCAGGCTGCATCATCAGCTCAGCTCCAGAGAGCTTGGAGCCCATGATCGGTTTGCCATCGCGACAGTCCCTTCAAAACTACTTGCTCCCCATTTGTCCACTTACACGGGTACTCGCCCAGTATGGGGATGAGGGACACCCAAAAGGTCAGAATCTCCACGGCTTGCTAGAAATCGCTTCTAAGGTTCACATGGTGTGCACGTGCACCAACATTGCAGGCTGAAACAGCTCAATGCAACCGTGCCTGCTTCACCCTTCCAGCCCAATGCAATGGACTTCGGCACCAAAGGTGCCAAAAACTCCCTCACGTCTTCTTCGGAGAATGCATCAGGCTCCACAAAATCATCTGGAAAGGTGATCTTGATGGTCCTGCACCATCACACCTGCATTTTGAAGCGCCGAAAGCAAAACGGCGCTCCTTGTGGTCTTCTCCTGGTTGGGCTTGTAGCTCAGCGGTCTAACCAAGTCTTCCATGTCTTCAGGTAGTAGCGCATCGATACGGCGGATGTACCGATCCAGCAAATGGAAGTGGCCTGGGACACAAGGACCCGACTAAGGATGTTAGACACCCCCGGCCCATGGAGATGTGGAAAGTCTGACGCATCACGATGTCGAGGCACCTTTCTTGCCTCGCCCTGTTTGTCCTCGCCACTGAGTCATCCTTGGTTGTTCTGTGATGTGGGGCGTTCTCACAAACCAACCCTAAATGCAAATTCTGCACCGCCAAGGCACGATGTGCAGAAGGGTGAGTAAACCTGCTTCTTGCCCTTGCGTCCGCGATCATTTCGTTCACGTCCACGTTCTTCGTACTCCCGGCTGCGCTCGCCGCGCTCAGAAGCATGCCGGGCAGCCCGCCCCTCAGATCAATAGAGCTTGACAAACAGGTCGCCATGGAAAGCGCTAAGTGCGCAGCTCTTTGTCCGCCAGCAGTGCAAGCCTGTGTGCATCATATCCCCACAAATCATTGCTGATTCTGCCAATCAACACTCAACGCAAATCCCCGCCACCATAGCGGCTAGGAACGTCATCGATGTCACCTGGGTCATGCAACTCCACGCAAATCAGGGCGAACACACCTGACATGCCGCACGGCGCCGCAAGGCATTCTCACTGAGGTACATGCTGGCCAGTTCGCAAACCTGACGAAGGGAACCTGTGCAAGAGGGTCACTTGCCAACGCGGTGTGCAGCGAAGCTTGCTTGGCCTCAAATGCCCTTGCCCGCACGCAGCCAAAGTGGACATGGTTCGCTGCCTGGGTCCAGGTGCCAAAGGCAGCGAACGCAACGGGAATGCCAAGCGTTTTGATGACTATCCTTCAGGCATCGTCATGATGATAGGGAAGATGGAGTGGATGCCTACAAAACCATACGATATGTCGACGTTCTGGAAACTAAGCTTCAGACAAGGCGATATGGCGTCGCAGCAGGCGATGCCATTGGAAATGCCAGCTTGCAAGTCGCAAGTCCAACAAGCCCTCCTGCAGCCTTTGCCGAATTTGAATGAAGACTAAGGAGTCGTTCATGGCAACTGCACCTTGCTAAGTGCACAAACTTTTGAAAACCGTGTTTGCACTTAATCACTCCGTGTGTTCCTTTAATTGCACAGCCAAAGCTGGGCGGCAAGTACTTGGCAATCATTTCAAGCATCTCTCTCTTGCATTTCAAGCAAGTTCCGCCTTGCTCGACTTTCAACTTCAAGCAAGCGCTCAGGTGCTTGTTTATCCAGGTATTGGATGAGGCGGCTCGGTACCGCTTTGCGAGCCATAAGCTGCATCCTGTGCAGCCAGCACAATTACTCAATTTCAATCAACGTCCCCAGGAGTCTCATTTGTCAGAAAGGCCCCGGCACTGAAGTCAAAGCCGCCGTCGGCACCACCGTCCATGGGCATGGTACTGAGAAATTGCCTGCCAAACAACGATCAAACTCAAGGCCGAATCTCAAAACATTTTCACCCATGTTCCCTTGACTCGCCAAAGTCACTGTTGCATCTCCAAGAGGTAGTCTGCAATCTGCTCCTTGCACGTAAACTACCTCTTCATTGAGCAAACCCAAGCAAAAAAATGACAGCGACGGCAGCCTCGTCGAAGACGCCGGCGGCCTCCTCCTGCTTGCGCGGCAAATGCACGCAGACTGTCAGACTGGCCGCTCCTCGGCGCCATCGGTCGCAGCTTCAGGCGCATCTTCAGCCACAGCATCTTTGGCCTGGCGCTTGCCACTTGCAAGAGGCGGCTCTGCTGGATTCTGCTGGCAACGAATTCAACGTCTCTCCGCAATCTGCCTCAAACGAGGCTGCTCGTGGCGCAAAGCGCTTGGCGCGTTCGGCGCGGCGCCTTTCCTCCTCCTGCAAAGCGCATAGGCACTCGAGATTGTGCAGTCCTTCAGGGCCCCGACCTTATCCACAGTGAACACCACCTGGCAATTAATGGGAATCCACTGGCGCATCCAAGATCTCCCAGCCGCACCTCTGGCTTTGCAGGCGGAGGCGGCGTGCCTTATCTGCTTTTGGAGGCTGACCAATCTGCCGATGCCCACGGACACCGTCAGAAATCCTCCGTTACCCTAAATTCGTGGCCAACACCCGGTACACACTTGTGTTTCGGGGAACCGCATCCATGCGGACCAGCTGCGACGTTGGATGGTGCAATTTGCCAACCATGCGACGTTGGATAGTATGCACATAGGTTGTGGCTGACTAGGAACCTGTCATGCAGGTGTGCGGATCCCTGGATGAACACAAACGGATTTGCATAGAAGAAAAGGCTGGATGCACATCTCTGTCTGTGTTTAAGAAGCGGTGCAAAGGAGGGCACCTACTTGGGATGGCAAAAAATGGAGGTAGCCTTAGGAACTTAGTGAAGGTGCTCTGAGCGCCTGACCAGGGGGAGGAGCACTCGACTTCGGCCTCGCAAGCCAGCATATCGTGTTGAGACATGGCCGAGCAAATTGCTATAACGGCTCAAAAGGAGAAACACCAACCATACTTGTTGTTGGAAACTGCGTGGATTAGCGATGAAATGTTTCGTGCATCCTCCTAGATTCGCATTGGGAAACTTGGCTGGTTGTGTTTGTGTGGTTGGGTATCCATGGATTCGGTGCATGTTCATGAATGGCAGGCAGAATCTCAGAAGCAGGCCAGAATCTTCCAGGTGCGCGCAAGTGCTTGAACACCGCCGCAGACACCTGCCATACCCCCGCGGTGCCAGCAGAAATCCAGAACATCCCATGCCAATGTGGCTTGCGCTCTTAGCTCCGCTTGGCCATGAGCATAGACCTGAGGCAAAGAACATCCCAAAATAACAAGAAATTCCCAAGGCACAGCTTTGCCAAACTTGCTCTGGGTGACCCACACAGCGGGCCCCTCGCACGCAGCTTCCCTGCTGTGCCTCCAGTCGTCAGGCAGTACAGGAAGCAAGATAAGACCATCACCCTTGTAAACATGCTTGTGGGAAGTGGACGAAAATGCATGTATAACATACATTCCCAAACGAATCCACGTACATGTGTGTATTATGTATCTACTTAAAATGTATATATGTAGTGTACTCAACAAACGCATGGATGCAAGCCCGGACGATCATCTCAGGCATCGGCCCAGTTGTTGCAAAGCCGGGTCTTGTAGAAGGGATGCCTGAACTTCTCAAATCCAATGCCATGCACCCCACGTAGATCCACCCCTTCGCTTTGCTGCCCGAGAATGGCCTCGCCGCATCTGCCCAACCGTGCCCCAACTGCTGCACCTGCCGCGCCGAGTTCCGACCCGAACTAAAATGGGAGATCGATAAGAAAGGTGCATGTACTGGTTGAAAGTAAGTGACTTCGCCCCCTTCGCGCCTACTCTTGACAGTACGGATTTTGCAATGGGTCGAGATGTATTTGTTTTTGTTTTTTTTTATTCTTCTTTTTTTCTCTTTCCGTCCTGGCTACTAAAATGCTGTAATTTACAGAAATGTACGTATGTCCGTCATCATCAGCATCGTTTTCAACATCCCCCGCATGTCCAGCCAACATCCCCAGCAACACCAGCAAATTGGCTTCCCGCATCTCATGGTAAAAGTGAGGATTCAATTAAAGGCGCGGGGGTTGGGGGCAGCCCCCCCCATGATGATGAAAAAGTGATGATTCAATCAGGGGCAAAAAGTCTAAAAAGGGGGTTGGGGGGGGGGCGGCAGCCCCCCCATGATGATCGAAAAATTAGGGGCAAAGAATCTAAAAAGTAGCGGTCGCATGATGATCGAAAAAGTGATGATTCAATTAGGGGCAAAAAGTCCAAATAGCGGGGGGTTGGGGGGGGCGGGATGATTGAAGAAGTGATGATTCAATTAAACTAATCCCTGTAGATCGAAAAAGTGATGATTCAATCAGGGGCAAAAAGTCTAAAAAATTGGGGGGGTTGGGGGGGGGGGCGGCAGCCCCCCCATGATGATCGAAAAATTAGGGGCAATCAATCTAAGAAGTAGCGGTCGCATGATGATCGAAAAAGCGATGAGTCAATTAGGGGCAAAAAGTCGGGGGGGATGATGATTGAAAAATTCAATGGGCCAAAAAAAAAAAAACAGCGGGGGGCATCGGTGCCTCTGCGGCAAGGCCTCATGGAAAAAGTGAGGATCACATACGGGCAAACTAATCCCTGTAAAACGGCAGCCAAAGAATCTAAAAAGTAGCTGTCGCATGATGATCGAAAAAGTGATGAGTCAATTAGGCGTGTATTTTAATCGAAAGGGGAGCGGCGGGGGGCAAGAGAGGAACTTGCGATGCTGAGGATGCAGGAAGCCAAGCAGAGGATGCGAAAAGCCAAAGCCAGAAAGCCGCCAAAAGCCACAAAGCCAAAAAGCCAAAAAGCCAGCGGAACTGGCAATGCAGAGGATGCGAAAAGAGAGGAACTGTGAATGCAGAGGATGCGAAAAGCCACAAAAGCCACAAAAACCCACGTAAAAGCAACAAAAGCCAAAAAGCCGAAAAGCCACCCACCCTGAAAAACAAAAAAATATCCTTACAAAAAAAACGAGAAAACAAAAATGGCCCTCTTTTTGCAATGGCACATGCAAAGCGCCGGAGCAGTCACGAGCACAAGCCATCCCTGTGAAGGCTTTCCATCCACTCTCTCATTTATAAACTTGCAAAATGCGCACCAAGCGTTCGCAGCTGCGATGTGCTGCACAAAGCTGCCAGGGCAGCAAATCTGCGCAGGCCGATAGACTCACATTGCACCACTACTACCTTACTCAAGTGAGCACAAGTGTCAAGCCAGCCTGCTTCCGGGAAGAAGACAAGGCGGGTGTCTTTCAGCTCACTCACTGGCAAGCTTTCATCGATTGCCTGAACACTCCAAGCCGCAGAAATGGCCACGTGACCACCTCAACCACCAAGCTCAACGCCCGCTGGCCTCTGGGTCGCCTCGGCAATAGAAGGAGCCCCCGGGCTCCGCCCCGACACCTGCGCGCATTTCGATGGGTGAGACACAACGCGGCCTTTGCGTTTGTGGCCCAAAAGCATTTGCCTTTTCGCTCCAGAGCCGCTCGCCGAGACATCGGCGCTAAGCCCTGGCGTTGGACGCTTCGGGCCCAGCAGCAAGTCCAGCATCACTGGAGACGGAATGAAAGTTGATGCAGCCGGCTCAGGCTTGACAGCTTTGAAGACACCCGACAACAAGCAGCCCACCACAGGATGGGTAGCATAAATGACACCCAGTTGACGCTCACGCCCATCTAGGAAACCATTGCTCGTAAGCAGCTGCATGCAGCGTTGTGAGATCCGCCTCTCGCGTCCAAAGCTGCTCGCCAACAACGGCATAGCCGAGGCTTTGCAAAGGAGCGGGCGTTCACCGATGAGGCGCTTCTCTGCAGCTTCTTGAAGGCGAGGTAATCCCAAGATTGCAGCCGCGCGCAACACCTCCAATGCGTGCAAAGCATCCTCGACTGTCTTAGGGTCCTGCGAAGCTTTGGAGATCGGCCGCGTGCCTTCGGTGGTCCAGAGCTCAGGCTGATATTCGTTTGCACCTGGCCCAGCCAAAGCAAATCGGAGCGCAGCAAGCAAGGCGCCACAACTCAGTCCCGCTGTGCTCAGATCAACGGCAGCGCTTCCATCGGACTCCGGTGACATCATGGACCGTACTGCCGGCAGCCGAGATAATACTTCGGCACCATTTTTAACGTGAACTTGCCCAGAGCCCAGGTTGAAGTCTATGGCAATGCACTTCTTCTGCTTAGCCTCCAGAGACCCCCACAAGCTCGGTCCGTGTGGTGCCTTCGTCTTCCGTCCTTCCAGAATCGCCTCCCACTCGCTTGCTGCATCTCTGGCGCGCTTCGTTCCTTGCGCTGCTTGTGTGTCAGTCGGCTCAAACTCGCCCCAAACCATTGGCTTCCACTCAGCTGTGTTGGAATATCATTTAGCATGCTGGCTGATTCTGACGAGATACTTGTATGAAACACCTGGGCTGCTCCACTGATCGTAGTAAGCAAACAATGCTAAACAGGCCCACAAATACACGTTGTAGCTAAAGGCTGGCGAGCTCATGGTTTGCTTTGTTTGCACATGCAAAACAAACGGAATGCATACACCAAGCAGCACATCAAACATCATAGAAATGTCCATGCCACACTCAGCTGCCGGAGGGCCTGATACAAACAAATTGCTCCGCACGTCCTGCATTGTTGCCTGCAGGCGATTCGATCCCTCAAAAAGAAATGCAGCAATCAAGCCTGGCAAGCAACGCGCATTTTCACTGGTACCTGAGCTGCTTCGTGATGGCTCCACGATGCCAAAGAGGGCGCTGGTGAGTCATTCTGACAGAAGCAGACTGGGCCTCCAACCGTGATTACAACCTTTGTCATCGCCTTGGGTCCCATGTCATGCTGCAAAACTGCTGAGCGCAAGAAAAGTGCTCTGCGAGAAACGATCCGCACACCCGTCTTCCCAAAAACAGGAAGCGCCTGTGGGAGACATAGAACCCGCACTGATAGCCCAAACTCCCCAGCACGTATTGCACACGCAGATTGGGGATGCTGGGGATGTTGCCTATTCAGCTTCATGTTGCGTTGCCTGCACTGCTTTAACGGCACCTTCTGGGGATCGAGGGTTTTCCATGCTGAACACTGGGAAAACGAATGGCTTTGACGAGGCAAGTCAAAGCTGCTTTGCGTGGCAGCTGGCCCAGAGCTCGCCTTGCGCATGCGAAAGCGCAGCCTGCGCTAGCAAAACCAAAGCAAGATTGGCTGCAGCCTGCGTGGCCCAAAGCTTTCACGCGCAGCCGGCGCAACAACTTCGCCCGACGCCGGAGCGTGCGCAGAGAGCCGCTCAGAGCCGCTTGCGCGCAACTGCGTCTCGCGGAACAATCTCCTGAAGCAGGTTTCTCTTGCCAAGGCGCTGCCTGCTTGGCTTCTAAAACTTAATAAGGAGCAAGAGGGAGCAGAAATGAAGTTCAGGGTCGCGGTGCTGCCGCGGGCAGTTGTGCGTTAGCAACACAAGTCCTATGCAGTGAATTGTGGGAGTCTGGGATGCTGCAATTGCAACATGGTGGCTTGGAAATAGAAAGCACCTTTACAAGTCAGTGGAACTTGACATGTTCAAGCTCGAGGCAGTGTCTTTCTGAGGCAGTGTCAGGGACTGGCGTTGCTGGCAAAGGTGGCATCACAGCTCCTGCGGCGAAGTCAAGCTCTACACTCTGCAGCTTCTCAGTGCGGTCCAGGAGCAGGCGGCTTGGGAAGCGGGACCTGGCTTGAGACAAAGCGGCTCGAACCAAAAATCCAAATTGACTTGCTAGACGAAGGGCGAAGGGCGCGGGGGCTGCAGGGACTGGCACTGGTGCTGTTTCGGGCGCAGGCTCCTTGGCACGGCACAGCAATTCAGCATTGAGCTTGAGCGCGGTTGCACCAGCTGCAAGACAAGAGTGGCAAAGGAAGTAGCGACAAAGGCTACTGAGGAAAGCAATGCCAGGCCACAGGTCTGTCAGCCGCCGCTTCTATTTCCACTGCAATCAGTGCATATTTGCGCGCGACAACAAACATGCGAAAAGAAGCCATGCCAAAACAACCGCTGATCATGACTTTCAATATTAACCCCTTTGAAAATTCCGAAACCAGGAGCCCCACCAATGCAGGCTCAAACATTTCCTCGCAGGGGCACACAGAAACACCTGCAGCTCTTGAGATGAAGTCCTGTCCTGGTTGCCAGTGTGGCTGCCACTCCTGACAAAATTAAGAATGATCCTCATGTCAAGCTGCCCTTAAGGCTCGCGCCCCGGCCATGCTTGCTCACCATTTGTGCCTCTGCAGGTCTCAGGTTTGACAGGCAAACAAAAGGTCCCTGCTTCCAGCTTCTTGGACAAATTGTTCAGGTCCGCACAAATCGAAGGGTGCTCCAAGATATTCATCATGTTGCACCATGTGGCCCATGAATTGGTGGTCTCCCCTCCCTTCGAAACAAACCCTATAACCCTTCGAAACAAACCCTATAACCCCATCTTGACATTCTCCTTTGCGAATTCGCTCTCACGGATGCAGTGCACGCACATCTCTGGTCTGCCTTTGACTGGCTCTGCTTCCTCTCCAGGAAAGTCTTCACCTTCCTGTGCAAATTTTGTGAGCAAAAGAGCACATGCTGTGCCCTGCATGCAGGCAGCACATGTCCTCGTTTGGCTTGGCGGCCGGCCTTTCAAGGGCACTCCTTACATGCACTCTGTGAGACTGCGCACCTCGGATTGGCCAGAAAAGCTGCTTGCGTTCTTGCATTCGCAAGTTCCGTCCTCCGCCTAGATCTTGACCGTGAGGCCAAAGCTGACGGCATTGCAGACCAGCATTGGAAATGTGGACACTAATTCTGATGGTTGCTGGAAATGATTTAAAACAACACTAACTGAATGGCCCAACAGGCTTTGAGTGGCTCCCTGAGAACGTGATCAGTGCTTGGACTTTCTTGTCATGTTAAAGCTGCGGGTAGTACTGTGAGGCTATGATCTAAAAAGTGCGTCGCTCTGTGCGCAGCAGCTTGCACTTCTGGTGTTTTGCCTCGAGGCCGAGCACGCAGCCTGACATCCCATTCCTTTGCCCATATAATTCATTGTCCGTTGCTTCTGGATGCATCAATCAAGAAGCCACTTGGCTGTGCAGCCGCCGTCCGGCACAAAGCCGCAAGGCCACAAGCACATGCACCCAAGTGCTTAAGTGAGACCTGTAGGCGAGCGGCACCGTGCTTTGTGTGCTGCCACGCAAAAGGCTAGCTACATTATTCAATGTGCTTGAATTTGACTGCAAACACTCAGGTCGTTTGTGGCCCCCATTTGCAGCCTCCTCAAGGCAGAAACGTGGGAGGCCTTGCCTGGAGGCGACTTTGAAGCCTCTCGCCCCTACGCGAAAATAACACATCTGATCACGCCACCGAAGCCAGCCAAAATGCTGCGCAGGTCTAATGGCGAGCAGCGAGCCGTGCACAAGTGCTCGGTCGTTGCCGGCCAGATCCTCAGTGCAAATCCAGGTCTTCCATCACTTGCGCTTTCGCGTGTGTGCAGTGCTCTCTGTGGCATGAGTCATGGCAAGCATGCGGCATGCGCAATAAATGCGTATTGTTGCAAGACAAGAAACGGTAACCTGCACATGATGCCTCATAGTGCATCGTCCTCGTCGTGCCTCATCTTACAGCCTCTCGATCCACAGGAACGGATAAGGCCGAAGTTCTCCTGAGTCATTCAACAAGAATGTCCGCTCTCAGGTTGGATCACTAGCTGCAAGCATACCATGCAAGGAATTCGATATGCTTTTCTCGCCAGTCCTTGTCCCCGAAATTGATCGCATCCCGCAGCGTGAAAAAGAAGGCATGGTCTATGCCGTGGACCTTGCGAAGGCAGATGGAAGGCCTACTGCTTACCGCTGTCACTTTCGCCCATTCAGCGTTTGAGTCTTGGCATCTGCACAAAAGCCATGTAATGCATCAAAGTCGCATTGGGCCCAAGCGATAGATCCCATTCCAAAAAACCCTGGTAGTACAAAGCAAACGCTTCTTTGGTGGACCATTCCTTAAGTGCACAGGCAGCGTCAGAAACAAACATCCAGGAAATCTGCAATGCCAAATAATGATTATACACGGCAAGGCGCGGTACAGTTTTGCATATTCGTCCGCAAAGTGGAAGCTCTTGGATAAGACCATCCAGTTTCTGTTAGCCTGAGATAGTATATGTCCCAAAGGCTGGATTCATCGTGTGCCTCCCATGAGAATTGTCCTAACTGCCAGCTGGTAAGTCACCACACTGCTTTCACTGGTGCCTTCTTCCGTTTCTCTGATTGATGTAAGGTGCAAAGCTATGCTTCAACCAACCAATCTCGCAGGGTTCATTGAGTCCTTTTCGAGATGCTAGGTCATCAAGTGAGCACTCGCATTGCTGATTCGTCCAGACAAACGAAAAGGAGTTCACATATCCGGCTTTGTTCGGGGGATCCGACTGCATAAGCTTTCTGTATGGCTCTCCTTCAACTCCTGGCTCGAAAGGTTCACGTACGAGCCTGCGAGAGGTTCTGAGGGTCCTCTACTTTCCGCTAGCTTTAATCCTGTCACATTCGTGGAAGCCAGTGTGTCGTCGAAGTTTGAAAATTGAGCTGCAGCTTGCGAGAAAGTGCTGAACCCTCCCCCCCAACAAATGCGGTGCTCTTTTTAGTGCTCGCCCACCCCGGCCCTCGCAGAACCTCGTGGAACCCTAGTGGAACCCTGGTGCAACCCTCGTGGAACCTTACCTCAGGGCTGCCCAGGACCACTTCGGAGCCTATCTGGGCTGAGACCCCAAAGCTTTCAGCTGTTGGGGAGAAAACATAAGAAGCCTGTAGCAAGCCATGCCTGCTGCCCGAGGCCGGTACCACATTGTGTCATCAGGTCTACCAGTGACCATCTGCATTCGGGTCCTCGCAGTCCAAAAACAAAAACCGCCTTTTGACTTGGAGGACTCCTCAGCTCCCGAAGCTGCCCTGGCAGCATGCTGCCTCAGCTCCCATGCGCGCGAGGCCAACATCTGGGCGATCCCTTGGTGGAGCCAGGCAGAACAGACCTCCAGGTCTCTGGAATCAAGGGTTGGCCATTGCGATTCCCTCAAGGGACCAAGATGTTGCAATGGAACAGCTCCTCAACAACTTCGTCACGCCCGCTGCTTTCCGAGGATCTTGGAGCAAAGTTGATGGCTGCCATCATCGCTTTGTTGCAGGTGTGGAAAATCCCCTGCCACGACGCAGAACGGGCAACGCTTGCCACGAAAAGCTTGGGAACACTCGCCTCATCCATTACAATGTGAGGATCAAAGTATGGATACCTCAGGATGCATTTACGGCGCTTGCCCAACAGGGCGGAGGGCAAACATCTTTAGTCAAGTGACGTGTTCCAAGACCAAGCCCACCGAGTACCAAAATCTCGATTGATCTTCTGAAAGAAGTCCAACACACCAGCTGTCCTCAAGCAGGCATGCTTCTAAGCCAAAATACTTGAGGGCCAGTCCGATTGCAAGCAAGCAGCTCGGAATTTACAAAGGGCGAACCGCCTCGCGCGATGCGATTCGTCAGGGCGAACCGCATATCGCCCGACCTAGGACATAGCCACCCATGACGGTGGTCAGCGTCACATCCTGGAAGCCCTGCATGACCTTCACAAAGCACAGAGTTGAAGTTGGTCGATCTTGGCCCACGCTGAGCGTGGCGCGGCCAAATCATTTGCTCGATGCATAACCTTTTTGTAGAAGTACCTTGGCGGGAAAGTGGCAACAAGGCCACGGCACCCGAAGTGGGTGTGTCTTTTGTTGAGGGTGCGCATTTTTCTGGTTGTAAAGGAAAACCAAAGGGAGACCAACCTTGTTGGTTGGCCCCTAAAAACAGACACACCCAAGATTTCAAATGACCCAAGCACACGCAGTACATGATTGCTCTCAGAAAAATGCCTGCATCAGCCAGAGGGCCCGCCATGGAATAGCCGCTTCGCACATTTTTTGTCGCATACGTCCCTTAGCTTTCAGAAAGCTGCAGCTCATCCCCGAAAATCCATTCAATAGCAAAGCATACCGACACCAAGTGAGTTTGAACGTGGCAAAAAGAGCTGCCCGCGCATGTTCAAAGAATATTGGTCTTGGTCTGGACAGCCTCTTCCCCACGACCAGGGCATGTCAGGGGAAGCAGGGACTTTGTTTACAAACCAAATCGGTGTTCAACTTCGGCAAGACACAACAGCTTGTGAACTTCTGGTCGTCAGGCGCATTGCAAGCGACAAAGTCAGAGACATCTGACTGCCCCTGTGGACTTTTGCAAAGGTTGAGCGTCGTTGAGTTGATTGCTCAAACAAAAAGCACGTGCTGTCCCTCAAAAGCTTGCTTTCGTCGCTCTGGCCGGATCGCAAGTGCGCAAATGCGCTAGTCGAGGTTGGCAGGAATCCGCCGGACTGAACGAGTCAACCATGTCAACAACTTGAGCTGTCGTGAACCTTTGAAGTCCCTGCGCAGAGATCGCAGTCACCACGCCATGGGTGCACAGCGGGCTATGCTGTCCGTGGATTTGCGTGAAGTCTGTGCCGAATTCTCACGTTCTTTCATGCCAGGCTTTGCCGAGCTCCCAAGAAGGCCGAGCCGCTGGGTGTGAAGCAATTCCACTTCATTCCCAATTGCCAGTCCCATGACGTGCTCTCTACCTGAAGGTTGCTCTTTCAAACGGCAGAGTCAAAGTAGATGATTCAAGACGCCTATGAAAAACATGAGCTCTTTGATGTAGATCCAGTCGAGGTCATCAGCTGTCTCATTGCAGGAGATCTGGGTTCCATAGAGCACTTTGACATTGTTTCCTCAGCAGCCACAAGCAGTTCAACTGCACAAATCCTCAAAGCAGCAAAGTATGGGCGGGCACAGAGGTCCGTTAGGATGCCAGAACAATGTTGCATGCCAAGCCTCTTTGAATGAAATTCTTGAGCTCCTTCCACACAGTCAAACCTGGGGCACAAGGCACCAAAATAATATCTTGTCTGACGCTGCAACGAAAATGCAGTGCACTGTCTAAGCTTGAAGCGGTCAAGGTGATCTGACCACTTTTCGTCCCATGCTTTGAAGAGACGCAAAGACGTGATCTTTTCCTCGAGTAGCAACTCATACCTCTCATACAACACAACACCCGCAGTCAACACTACAAGAATAGCCATGCGTGAGAAGCGGCTTTGGCATTGGGCCACCGTTTGGTGGTCAGCTGCGGGCACTCAGAGAAAGTTGTGTCGTCCAAGGCAATACCCTTCTTCTCGGCATGTTTCACCGGGCCCAGGAACATGTTACCTAGGATATGTGCACGGCATCGCGGCATCGCGGAAGCGGAACAATAAAGTCACAACCCTGGAAGCACACGCAGTGTGAATCTTTCAATTGCAAAGCAGCTCAAGCATTCAAATCCATCTCCTGCTGGAGGATATTTCGCAGTAGTGGTGGTAGTCATTGACGTGGAAGTGTGGCTCGTGTGTGTGGATGTCCGTGTTGTTCGTGTGGAGCTTGTGGTCGAAGTAGCCTCAGGGCTTCCCAAGCTTGCAACTGCAACGCGTATACAACTTGTGGGCTGTACATTGAGGCGGGTTAAGGCAAGCAAATTGTTATGCCTTGCATTGTGACCCTGTTGGTACCTTTCAGCGACAATGTGATGGTGTGCGGAATCATTGAAACATAATCCATGAGGCAATGTGCAAACGTCGTTCATGTTATTCCAAGCATCTGCAAAACTGGTTGCCTGCTTGCGGAAACAAACAGTTACACACGCAAACACGCAACACACAGACACCTGCACATCTAAGCCCGCAGCGGTGAAAGTTGATGTTGTCATAGTCATGGTTGAGGAAGTTGTGGTGTTTGTCTGCCCAAAAAATAAATGCCCTCATGAACCTGATTCAAACAAGAAGGCACCAGGCCTTCACTGCAGGCCTCAGATAAGTGTGCACTGGAAAATATGCAAGGCTAATCTCTTTGATGACTGACTGATTGATTTTGGCAATAGCCCGGGAGTGTCTATCTGACCCTATCTCACTTGAAGCAACTGGGTGTGCACATCCTCTAAAAGCACCACGTGGCAGCAATTCTTCTCGGCACCGCGCCCGCCAAAGTGGAAGAAGTCAAAGCCCCCTCCTGGTTGCACAAAAAAATGGTTAGGCTGTCAGACGGAATTCGATTGACTCAGAAATTGGTCAGCCTGAGTCTCCATGCCCACGCGTCACCTCAGCGTACGTAAACGGTCACCTTGAAGTTTCCAAAAGACGACGTATGTCTGAGGATGCATCCAGATTTTTCAGATTGCCCGCCTGAGCCGAACTGGACGAGTTCTTGACACAGTCTAAGGGCGCACAGCGCCTCTGAGGACACCAGTGGACTCAAGTAGGTGCCAGCACCGAAAGCGGCCACGATGCCAAGCGCCTGGAGCACATTCCCCTGAAATGAAGCGAAATGTCAGCCAGTGCTGAGAAGTGTGCTAACAGCGCTGCTTTCAGCATGGAACTTGAGGAGGTTGGTGCACTAGCTGGACTTGCTCCTGGCGTCATGGTCATTCGTGCAGCCGCAGTTTCATTCAGCTTCTTGCTGGTCCTCTGAGCTGTTCGCTAGTTTTCGTCTTCAGCTTAAATCGCAAAACAAAGCCTTTAGTCAAATGCAGGTGTTTGCTTCTAATTTCCTGGATTCTCAGCTTGCATGTTCTTCCTTGCATGTTCTTCCTTGCATGCTTTGCTGTGTTGCCTGTGGCTTTCAAGGCATCTAGTAAGCTCCAGTCCTGTCCCCGTCAAGGGCAAAGATGCAGCATCGCTGGCGTTTTCTCGCGCGCCAGAAGCCATCAAGGGGCTCGCCTGAACAGGAGAGAAACAATGCACAGCTGAACTCACTCACGAGCAAGGAATGCTTGAAGAATGCCAAAAATAGAACTGGCCGCGCCTCTTGCCTACTAGCAGTTGCAGCAACATCCCCAGCGCCACTTTCAGTTCTAAGTGGGGTCGACTCCGCCACACTGTCAGCTCTAAGTGGGGTCGACTCTGCCATGGTAAGGCAGAGGGCCCAGTGGCTGCAGATGCGTTTGCAGGCTTTTAGGCCGGCTTCAACATGAATATGCAAGTCTTCACATACATGACATGATAAATTGAAGCATCCCTCTCGCAAAGCTTGTTACGAAAACCTAACGATGATGCTGGTCGCACACCTGGGAAAACTGCTCAAGCTTGCGCCTTATCTGGCCAGTAAGCTGAACAAAAATCAGTTATGCCTCTGCAAGCGCCTTGGAGTCATCCAAGGTGGCCACTCCAGGCAAAACCTTGCCTTCCAAAAGCTCCAAGGAAGCACCACCACCTGTGCTGCAGTGGGAGACCTTGTCCACGGTGTCGTACTTCTTGCAGGCCGTGGCGGTGTCGCCACCTCCGATCACCGAGACGGCACCCTCCTTTGTGACCTCCACGATGGTCTCCATCATCTGCTTGGTGCCCTTCTCAAAGGAAGCCATCTCGAACACACCCATAGGGCCGTTCCACACGATGGTCTTGGACTTCTTGATGGCCTCATCGTTCATGGCAATGGACTTGGGGCCAATGTCCAGGCCCAGGAACCCATCCGGCACGCCGGTGCTCATGTCGCCATCCTTGATCTCTCCATCCTCGCCAAACTTAGAAGAGCACACGAAGTCCACAGGCAGGATCAGCTCCACACCCTTCTCCTCCGCCTTCTTCCTGATCTCAGGCACCAACTTGGCGCCCTCCTCATCGTACAGAGAATCGCCGATGTCCACGCCAGCCTCCTTGATGAAAGTGAAGGCCATTCCACCTCCAATGATCATGATGTCCACCTTGTCCAGCAGGTTCATGATCAGCTGAATCTTGTCCGCCACCTTGGCACCACCCAGGATACCGCACACCGGCCTGGTGGGCGCATCAACGACCTTGGCAAAGTAGTCCAGCTCCTTGGCGAGCAGGAAACCAGAGCACTTCACAGGGAAGCCCTCACCCACCATGGAGCTGTGTGCTCGGTGCGCCGTTCCGAACGCATCGCTGCAGTAGATGTCTGCCAGCTTGGCGAGGGAAGCACGGAATGTCTTCACCTGCTCATCATCAGCCTTGACCTTGTTGCCATCCGCGTCTTTTCCCTTGCCCGTCTCCTCAACATAGAATCGGGAGTTCTCCAACAAGATGACAGTGCCCGGCTCAGGATCCGCGCACGCAGCCTCAACATCCTCTCCAATCACATCCTTCATGAGCTTCACTGGCCTGCCCAGCTTCTCCTCCACCACCTTGGCAACTGGTTTCATGGAGAACTTGTCGCTGAACTGGTGCAGTGTTCGTGATGATGTTGGGATCCTGCTTGTCCTGCGGCACGTTAAAGTCCACCCGAATGAAGACGCGCTTGTCCTTGAGGTCAACCTCGTCGATCTTCAGCTTGGCCAGCGACCTGCATGCCACCACATTCTGGGCGGCCCTCGGCTTGATGCACTTGCGACGAGAGGCCGCCGCTGCGCCACGGATGGCGGCCACGCTCAGTCCTCCAACAGCCAGGGCACCGCCCAGGCCCTGGGCAGCAGAAGAGGTAGCACCAGAAGGAGCAGACGACGACAAAAACCTCTGGCTTGAGGTGGCAGACACCTGCGACTCTGTGCCAACCGGTGCAGCGCCTGGCGCCACAAACGCAAGGCCGCCCAATGCTGCGGCGCCGAGCACCGAGCCAACTGCCACCTTGGAGGATCGCGCCATGGCGTTTCAAGTCGGTCGTCGCGTTTCTGTGGTGTTCCTATTCTGAGAGCCAGAGGCCAAACAATACGTCATGCAGCAACATATTTATGTGAACACATCGGGACATGACGAAATATTTAAAGTTATCTAAACCCGAGAGTCATGCTATGACAGGCCTTAAAAAACAGTAGCGGCGAGGGCGCGCGGTCACGCGCGCGCGCTATGCGCAGTGTACGCGCGGCGCGCGCGCGGCGTGCGCGCGGTGAGCGCGCAACAAGCGCGCAATGAGCGAGCAGCGCGCGAGCGGTGCGCGGGGGCACGCGCGGAATGCGCGCGGCGAGCGCGCAACGAGCCAGCGACGCGCGAGAAGTGAGCGGCGGCGCGCACGAATCCAAAAGTCTCTAGCTGGTTCAGGGCGTTTGCTTGGTTTTGAAGAGTTGGTCGGAGCCGGCGCTATACGCAAACAGTAACAAGACCGACGCAAGATGAGGGCATCGTGCGAGCTCAAAGACAGAAGAAGTCGACCACTGGTGGTCGAAGAAAAGTAGCCCAGGTTCCACACTTAAGGTGTTGCAAGTTCAAGGTTGCTCCTAGCAAAACTCATCCAAAGATGGAGTGACAGGTGTTTCAAGTTGCAGCTGGTTCCAACCAGCATTACCAGTTGCAAGCGCAAGTCGTTAAACAATGAGTCAAGCAAGTCACAAGTTGGGGCTGCTCCACCCATGAGTGTCATCATCTCATCAGAGTTGACGTGATGTCCATATTTGCATTTTGGCAACTTGTGGCCGTAGCAGGTTATTTCTATATCAGCCATGAGTCCGGAAGAAAAAACCATGAATCAGGAATCGTTGCGCGTGATGGATCAGTCATGGGCCTGACTCACCCTCAGCGCCAATAGCAGTTTTGGCCCAGTTTGTCTTTGGAAATCAGATCACGATCGGATTGATATGAGTTTGACACGCGCCCGCAGGTCTCTGCGCTGGCCAAATGTGGTCAAATAGGAAGCTTGCGCACTGTGCGTTCAGGCCCCAGTCAGTTAAGCAGCTTAAGCAGCGTGCGTCTATGAAGTTGGCCACGATTGTTCAGGGCACAAGCCCGCCGTTCCTGAGGATGATGTCAGTCTCAATGTCAGTCACCGCCACTCTTTTACCGCACGCCCTTCTGCAACAAGCCCTGGTGGCTTGCCATAAGCACCGCGGTGACTCCTATGGTGCACCGGGTGTACGCGTGCGAGATCTAGAGGCTGAGAGAAGCACCTGTGAACATTTGGGAACGGACGGAATAGTTGACTGGTGCCACCTTCGTTTCAACTTAACTGGAAACTTCACTTTTGACTCTTGACGGTTGAAAGAGTGAACTTCAAACAAACCAACTTTGCGAGATCGCCGCAAGCAAAGTCATGTGATGTAATGTAACGCTACTTGACCTGCGTCGCACCGATTGGTCCATGACCAGTGTCAGTGTCACTCGTGACATGACTCATGACTCATGCCCCACATCAAACAAACTCGAGCGATTGGTGCGCCAGCAATCTTGTTTTTTGTTGGGTGTCGCAGGTAGCCCAGCATTACGTTGGAAGGGGCCACCGCATGGTGGTTCCGGTCGGCCAGTTTGATTGGGTTGCTCAACATCATGAGTCGCATGAATCACGATGACTAACATAGGGGCGTAGGGCGCGGCGAAGGTTTTCCCCTAGTTGTAGATTGCGGACGCGGATTCGGACTCAGCTGAGTTTGGGCAACCCAGGAACACTACCGACTGCGTGTGAATCGGATCTGCGAATCAGTGAATTAGTGCACCGGTAATTCGACGATCCTGAAATGGGCCATGAGTGTTCGGTTTTTGAAGCTTGCCGCCTTTCCGCTTGCAATAGCTCATGCGCTAGATGTTGCCCCGTGTGAGCCAGTGCGCAACAAACAGCTGTATATAATTGGGTGGAAACCACCTGCCAATTGACGACACAAGTAGTAGCTTGCGAGATGTGTTGTTCGAAATTTTGACTGGCCCTTGC